GATACCAGCCTGATTCACACAAGAAACACGGATTGAGAAGTTAAGAAGATGATTCAGACAAAGTACTCATAGAAAGAGCTGCTAACTTTATCTTCTCTGCTCAGTTATCACAACTAATCTACTTCCCTTGGCAATCAGGTTCACCGCCGTTCTTCTACCCCAAATGCTCCATCATTCTCCCTCCTTCCCTCTCCCAAGTTAAAAGATGTTAAAGAGCGAAAAGGAATTGGTTCTCTTTTTTTCTTCTATTTCTTTTTTTTTTTTTAATTTTGTTTTAATCTACAGAGCAATTGTACCTCAGCATAAACAAGTAGAAACAATGTAAATGTTAAAACAGTTAAAGAGACAATCACAAAAACAAGCTGGCCCCCTTTTCCAATTTTTTTTTTTTTGGGTTAATAAATGCATCTCTATATTTTACTTCTGAACGCAGAACACAAAAAGAAGAGATAGTATGTTGAATTGTTGATAACAACAACAATGAAAAAAAAAAGTGCAAAAAGTACCAAGATTTCAGAGCAAATGCGGGGTAAGTGCATTCGCATGAGCAAAACATGGAGAGACTGAGTAAGGACGAAGATGATAGCCAATTGCAATTGAAGACGCGGCAATGTACTAGAAAGAATGTTTCCTTGGTTCCAGACACCCCCATTTGTATGAATATTTATGGCGCTTGGGTCGACGAAGCAGGTGTCGTTAACCGCCATGATCACGACTTCTATCTGGGTTTTCAGGGACGCTTCTGACGTTCACGTCCGAAAATACTACCAATACCGGGCCATCTTTTTGACTCCCTACCCTTAAGTACTACTACTATGAGAGTTGGGTTTGTGAATTGTGATGAAAATATTGCTGGAGTTTTACGAGAATTTCGAAATTATTATCGACAGATGTCCGCTGGCAGGGTGGCTCGCTATCCAGAATTAGCTGGTCAATCTGAATTCAATTCTGGCAAAATGGATGGATCAGGTGACGTACAATTACCCAAAAATGCTCGTAGCCTTTTGTTTTCTTCGCTCAAAGCTATTTTCTTTTGTCATTGCTGACATCTTTTATGACAGAAAGGATTTGACAAATGGTTGCAGCCAGCCAGTCAGCGACCGTTTCTGGGCTTTGATTATAGTCATGTGATTGTTTCAATAACTACAACCCCTACAATTTTGCAGGTTTTTTTGGGTTTCAATATATATATATATATATAGGTAGAGAGAGAGAGAGAGAGAGAGTAGAAAGTTGACATTAATTTTCCCTCAGGATTGTTGGAGGCAAAGGTAGGTCTATAAGAATTCTTCAGAAATGTAATTTTGGGGTATTATTACCCTGCTTATTTATCGGATATAATTAGTGCCTCAGTTGAAATGGAACCCATACAGCTGGTAACTCGAGTTACAGACCGGACCAATCTTTTGATTGGCTAGGCAAGGAGAAATTCCTTATTCAACAGACTAGCTATGGCACGATGGACACGACTCGCGAGAGTAGACTCCATGTGCGAGAAGCCATGGCTTTAACCTGTGGCCGTGGGCTATGTGCTGCGACAACTTCTGAATTCCGGCACCACCCTTTCAGGGATACCTCCACAATGGAAAATGTACTTCGATGTACTTCATTCACCCATATCACAACCAAGTAAGTTTTGGCATTTTCGAAGGACTTGGAAGACAAAGGAACATAGGATTGGTGGTGTCATTCTGCAGTAGAGAGTAGACTGCTGATTGACGACGACTCCTCAAGAGTATGCTAAATTTACAGCATAGGATTATTCTTGGCAGCTTTTCATTTACTATACTGCACTATTTTATTGGGAAACTGCAATGGATCAGCTGGACTAGAATCTGCTTCTTGGGTGTGGAAAAGCATATGGGGAGGGAAGGAACTGATAGACAAAGGGATGAGACATAGAGTGGGGGATGGCAAAACCATACAGGTCTGGAAAGATAAGTGGATCCCAGGCTACGAGGAGGGGACGGTCAAATCAGCAAGGAAGGAGGGTTGCAGTATAGAGAGGGTGGAGGAACCAATCACAGAAGGGGAATGGAACCAGAGGCAGCCAAACAGATGGTTTGATTAGGAAGATGTCAGACAAATTCTAGCCATTCCACTAAGCTTGACAGGAGGAAAGGATATAATGTACTGGCAACATACAAAATCTGGACAATTTACTGCCAAATCAGCTTATGCAGCAGAAAGAGAAGGACCTGGAAAGCATGGAAAAATGGAAAGAAGGGAAGGAATTAGTTACCCCCAACGGGGGTCAAAAATGTGGAAGAGCCTATGGTCATTGCTGCTGAAGCACAAGCTCAAACATTTTGTATGAAGATGTCTACTAAATAGTCTACCAGTCAATGAACAAATACACAAAAGATCTGGGAAAAGGAATGAAATCTGTGACTGCTGTGGGGAGGAAGTGGAAACAATAGAACATATGCTTTTCTTTTGTAAAAATGCAGAACTCCCTTGGAGGATGGCTCCAATCCAATGGGATGGTTTAAATGACATGAGGAGCAACTTCGTGAGGAGGTGGGAAGGAATATTAGAAGCAAACAAGAGAGATAGGGGCCAGGAACATATTGCTCTGACTGTAAATATTATGTGGCAGATATGAAAAGTTAGGGACATAAGGGTATTCTCTGATGAGGTAGTAGATGCAGGTCATAGTGTACAAAAAGCATATATGGAGTGGGTAGAATTCATGGAAGTCCAAAGTAGTAGAGGAGGGGAGTACATGGAACAAACAAATCACACACAGCCTTCAGTAAATTGGAAACCACCAAGCAAAGGAGTGGTCCTGATCAACATGGACACTGCATTTTCAAAAGGAATGCAGAAGTGTGGACTGGGAGGGATAGCTAAAAACTAGAAGGGGAGGATACAAAAGGTATGGGCAAAATCTGCTGAAAAGTCTAGTGAACCACTGGTGAAAGAAGCTGCAGCCATTAGAATGGGAATGAAGATGGCGCAGGAAGATAAGTGGAAAGCAGTGGAATTCCAATCAGACTACAAAGCCATAATAGACATGATTAGAGAAGGGAACGTCAAGGAATCAAGAGTTGCAGTCTTACTAGAGGATATACAAAAAATGAAAGACTTGTTTGATCAATGTACTTTTTCTTTTGTTAATAAAATAGGTAATAGTTTGTGCACACAATCTAGCAAAGTTTGCTGTTAAACTTGTTAGAGATGTTAGTTTGGGAAGAAAATTTTCCCATGTGGCTCAAAGTGAGCGCACAAAAGGACCTGTTGGATAGTAACCCGTTTATAGCTGATCTTATAATATCAAGTTAGCAATGAAATACAAAGTGACTTTTGACCAAAACAAAATACTAAGCTGACTGATTCGGCTTCGAACCTTGCAATTTCCCGCTACCAAGAATTGAAAATGACAAGGCATTGCGCAGCTACTTATAAATTTGCTAGTTCTGTGTATTAGTAATTATTTCCACCCCAGCTTAAGTTAAAATGCTCTACTCTTTTATCATGGTCCACGACATGCTCTGGCTTATTAGTAAATGGATATGGAACGAACGATTAATCGGACAAAGAAAAGCTGTATGCTAGACTGAGTAGGAGTAACAATTATCTGCGGAAGGTTCTTGCTGACCCCAATTGCTGGCTTGCTTTCCAACCTTATGAATAACCTTAATGACCTCTTCAGTCGTGACGTTGCCCGTTACCGTCACCTTACTTAGCTGTTTGTCGATGTCATAAGTTTCAATATCTGCCACTCCCCAAACAAAGAAAGGCAAAGAAAATATTGATATTTATTAAAAACTAATAATAATAAGCTGTATGATTGCGACATATATTGTGAATTGAGGAACTCAAGAAAGGATGAGAAATGAAGGGGCAGGAGTTCTGTGAAGCAGAAATAGTAGAGTACCTTCAATCTTCTTGATGGCCCTCAATATTTTCTTAATGCATTCGTCACAGTGCAGACCTACCTTCAGCTCCACCACCTACCAACAACATCACAAATTATCAATTGGAGAAAAATGATCCAACCGGTGAAAGTAATTACAGCTTTAAGATACTTACATTGGCCATAGATTACTGATTGCGGATGAACTCTGACAACTGGTTCGATCAAACAGTGGAATCAGATCGAGCTGTAGTGATAAAAATGGAATCGCCACTTCAATCTTTGGTAGTTGGAGGAGGAGGAGGAGGAGAAGTTCTTGTAAGGAATAATATGTTTGGTTGATGAAAATGAACTGCTTGAGCAGTTTTTTCAAAAAACTCTTTAAATGGTTAAGTGGGAGCACATGCTGATTCTTTTCATCTTTACTTGATGGAGTTTAAAGCTTTTTCAAAAAGCTTCTTTAAGGCTGTCTTTTTGACTCTTAAGCGGACAATGCAAAACCACCTCCATGCTTTGGGGCGGCCAAAGTTGACAATGCATTATAAATACATTTTCAATCACCTTTTTTATGTTATGTACATTACATCAAAAAAGTATCACAATAATTTTTTTCAAAAAATTGTCCCAATTAATCTCCTATCCAAACACACTCTATTTGATATGGAAAGATAGTGCCAAAATTTAGAATGCCCGCAAAAAAAAAAAAAATTTAATTTAGTTGTTTGTTACTAGTGTGCAAAATATATCTCCTTGTTTTATACGTATGACATGTAGATTGATGAGCTTATTAAGCATTATTTGTATCCTTGTCATAAAATAAAAACCCAAAATTCTCCAAAAAAAAAAAAAAGGAAAAGACTTTTTATTTTATTTTTTCTTTCCTTACTATCCAATTTTTCTTCCCTCGGCTCTGCCTGTCCAACAGGATTAAAGGGCAAAAAGAACAAATATCCAGTCACCGGTAACTTTGTTCCTTTATTTCCAGCTGGGCAAAATAGTCATCCAAAGACCAGAGTGAAGGAAACGAACGTTGAGGCGTTGACCCCAGCCCGCTGCGGCCCAGCTCGATGAGATCCTCATCGATTTAAGTACTCGGACGCCAACCTATTAAAAGATGCCACCTGCTATTCCTTTGCCAATAATTCTTTCCCAACGCCATCCTCAACACAAAACTTCTCATAAACACCAATCAAACGAAAAAGATTCCGCAGCAGTCACCATAAAGCAAATCAAACCCTTGTTAAATCTTATCTCCAAGCCGATTCCGAAAATCTTGAAGAAAAATTAAAAGGAAAAAAAAAAAAGAGAAAATGGGAAACGCTCTGAGGTTATTCTGTGGATATTGTTGCAAGCCTACATCAGAATCGGATTCCCTGGGCGGCCTTTCAGCTCTAGCTCATGATCTTTATAACTTCGAAATTACCTCCCAGGTAAGGGTCATGTCACAGGGTTCTTGCTTGAATTCAAGAGTTTTATACCCCTTTTTTTGTTGTCTTTGGTTGCTATGTCACAGGGTTCTTGCTTGAATTCAAGGGTTTTATACCCCTTTTTTTTTTTGGTGTTTGGTTGCTAATCAAAACGTTGACTAGCTTAGAGCACAATAAGACTTGATTTGGTGATAGAGGGTGGGCATTAGTTCTGTTCTTGAATGATCGGAATTGGTTTACTTCTTGTTCTTTTGTTCATATCAAGGTTCCTGAAGGACTGAGGGAGCATGTTGCGTCATCGAAAAAGGCTCAAGCTAATTGGTAATTGACTGAACACTTGAGGCCAAATGTCTTTGTAACAATGCTATGCATCTCACTGATTTTAACCTTAACATTCCTACGTTGTTGTGAATTTCGATAAATATCAAGGTACAAAAAGCTTTCCGCTGCATGGCGAGAATCGAAACCTCCACCTAAAACACCGGAAGAAGCCTCGAGGCTTATAATCCGGACCTTAAAAAGGCACCAGAAGGCCGATGTTGAGGTAATCTTTGCAGGATTTCTTCAATTGTATGCACAAAGCTCAAATAAATGAGTGCTGGCTGTCTGATTTAATTCATTTGTGCATATTAAACTGCAGGGTTTATTGGCTTTCTATCGTCTTCCTCTGCCACATACTCTGGTTGAGCTGACTGATGGCACTCCTCCTCCACACCCGCAAGGACTCCAGTTCGAATTGCAAACACTTCCAGTTAAAAAAAAAAAAAAAAAAATTATCTTCTCAGACATATTTGGTCATTTCTAATGCACGGTCAAGTGTCAATGAGTTCACACTATACTGTAAACTGTCTATAGGTAGACGCAAAGGCAGTAGCAGATGGAGATACAATAACTGTCTATGTTAGTACCACGGATCCTAGGGAGTCGTCATCTGTTCCCAGGGATGTAAAAGTTGCTGCTGTTCAAAGATCAAAAGCGCGTGCAGTCAAAAATTATGCAAAAGCAGATGCATTGCATAAGCAAATCGTGGATGCAGGATACCGGTTAGTCATACCTCGCAAGTTCTCCCAGATCTTCCATCTCGCTGTTACTTTACTCGACTGTTCAACTGATTAATGTGAGGTTCTACTTCAGGGTACTGATGATTCAGAATGAGGAAATTCTAGCTCGAAAATATAGGATCAGATTAAGGTACGTGAAACTGCTGATGATAGGTCTTTTCATGCTACAATGCATTTCTTGATAATGACGCGAGATGAGAAACAGGGGAATAGATGCGCCAGAGAGCGCTATGCCATACGGGAAAGAAGCCAAGGAGGAGCTGACTAGAATAGTTCAGGGAAAGTGCTTGAGGGTTCTTGTATTTGATGAGGATCGTTATGGGCGCAGTGTAGGAGATATATACTGCAACGGCATATTTGTACAGGTAACAAATTTGAGAAAGATCAATCTTGGCTGCCCTAGTTACATTCCTTCTTTGGTCCGTGCATAATGAGTTTTTTCTCCATTGTGATCTTTAGGAATCAATGCTTAAGAAAGGTCTAGCCTGGCATTACACTGCCTATGACAGACGCCCAGAGCTGGACAAGGTAACTTTGCGTTTATGATTTGGCCCTCGTCTACTACCTTCAGTGTTGTGTCGATGTCATCAAAAAATAATAATAATGTTTTGCCTGCCTCATTTCAGTGGGAGAAAGATGCTCGAGCCAAGCGACTTGGACTGTGGGCGTCGTCAAACCCTGAGAAGCCATGGGAATGGAGGAAAGACAGACGTGAAGAAAGATAGTTGTTTCAAAGGCAAAGAAACTGTTCTACATGCCTGCTTATATAACCCCTTGACGTTTAGAGTACCTACAGTGCATAACATTTAGAGGTGCAAAGCAACTGGCAACGAGATACAGCGCACGCTTGCCATTTGGAATTCGCAAATGTTATAATGATATATCTAATTGATGCTTGATGGCAAAGGAAGTTTCTAAACAGAAACCAGCACTCTTGGTGGCCACATTTAAGGAGTGCAAAATTTTTTTCCCAAGGAAAATATTTTCAGTGCAAATCATCTTCATAGGAAAAAAAGTTATTTCCCTTCATTTTCAGGTGTTTGGTGCACTTTCGAAAAATTGTCCTTGAAGCCAAAAGCCCACAAAGAATGTTCCCCTCAAAGATTCGTCAGTTTCCTTTTGCCAACGACCAGAACTCCCATCCACACCTATATCAATTCATCACCCCAATCCAAATACTTCAAATTCCAAAAAATTAGATCATACTCAGGAAACCCATAGTATCGCAAACCCATTACCATTACAGATCATACTAATTACCTAATCGCTATGTCAATGGAAATTGCATCAATAATGAGATCCTTATGATTGATAGAGTTCTATCAGATGAAGCACTTCACTGATGCTTACAAATAGTACTAAGAAAGATAAGGAAGATGGAGAGGCGCCTTTGTGGTGGTGGTGGGGGAGGTGGCTGTAGGTCTAGGTTAGGCACGATAGATAATTTTCAGTCATGATCTGAAAATTTTCGGTTTAGTAAAGGATCATGAGAATGATGAGCTCTCAAATTTTTTTTCCTATTAAAGGGATCGTGAGGTTGATGAGCTCTGAGAGTTATTGAAAAATAACTTTAGTACAACAGATGCGGAAGTCATTTTTCTCGTGATTGCGTAAAAGATTTTCCGCGGGAAAAAATTTTCCCAATCTTTTTGGCTGCCAAACACCAGAATTTCCTGAAAATATTTTCAGTCCAAACAAATAGACCCTAAGTGCCAACATTTTCCACTTCCCCCTTATCTCCAATCTCCTTGTCCCGCACTCTCACGGCTGTGGAGCCCCATTATTCGCATCTGGCAAAACTTTCAGCTATAAATTTTAATTGCAAATGTACTTGTATTGCAATTGCCCCTCCAATAATTTATATAGAAGCAGTAAAGATAATTTCCAGGAGACTTGCAGTAACAGCATTCATCTTTCTGCAGAGAAGCTGATATCAAATATCAAATGTAAAGATCAGCGTAATGAGCTTTTAGATGCAGCAAGAATTGATGATCAAAGCTCAAAACTGGAACACTAGGCAATAACAGGTTCAAATTTGCACCACCTTTCTAAACAAACTCAACAAAGAATAAAAGAAGGATGATCTCTCATTCCAATAGGCAGAAAGTACATGACTGACACATCAAAGTTGCAAAGAAACCAACAGAAACTAAAAAAGTATCTGTCCAGAAAGTTACGAACTTGATTCACTGATACACTGGACAATTAGTTCCTAGGAGGAAATAAGGGGGGGGGGGGGGGGGAGAATAAAAGAAGCACAAAAATTTCAGGTGCAAAATCTGCAGCTCAACTTCGGCTCAAAACCCAACAAATACATACACTGGAGCACCAAAAAAAAAATACACTGCAAAGAACAAGAAGTTCTTCAAGTAGACAAGAGGATTTAATCTTTTCTGCTACGCTGAGTTTTAATCTCTTTGCAGCAGTCCATAACTAATCTGCTATGCTAGACAACATGCAGAGAGACCAGTAACTATAATAACATGAATTGGCTCCTTAATCCAGGGCTCTGCAAGCAAGGGAATTTATAGCAACAAATTAAAGTAAGATGAGTAACGTACTTGTTAAGGAGGCCAGCCAAAATGGGAGAGCATAGAACAAATTATTGTACCTAACCAAAATTGAGGTATGAGCAGGTTGAATGTAAAAGATTCCCACCAAATGACTTAAGTAAAGGCATGTATGATATACCATTCTAGTGTTTAACATCTAATTGAAGTTGAGACGCTCTAAAACGCATGCTGTTACAAAATAGAAATAAGCTTCACAAATAACAGGCCAAAAGTGATATAATGCACTAGAAGAAAATAAAGTTCGTAGAAAAACCATTGGGATAAAACAAGAAGAATGTAGGATGATTCAACTCACATTCTTCTTTTCTTTCAACCAATAGAGACTTCTTCCATCTTATTTGGCTTCATCTTTTGTATCCTCAGAATCCGAGTCACTTGCATTGTACCCTTTCAAAAAAGAAACAAATTTATAAGTTGACAAAGTTACTACCTAAACAACAAACCAAGCAACCAAAATGGATTTGGACACAAATAGACACAGAACAAAAACCTGGATGCTTATCGCTAACTTTCCATACTGAAGACCGAGCCCTCGAAGCTCTATTCATCCAAGTCTTTCCCTAAACCCAAAATATTTCAAAATCAGACGACTACAAATTCGGGTAAGAAAAAATAGACATCATTAGCGAAGAGTAGAACCCCACGTCCAACGTTCAAAAATATACATCCAACGCCTGCCCTTCTAAAACAATTTTAAAAATGAAAGAGGAGACAGGAATGAGCAAGAAATTCAAACTGCATTTCATCTCGTATACTAAAGCGGGATTGGAGAAAAATGCTGACTGGAATTAAATTCCAGAATTTTAAACCTCTCTATTTCAATTATACTTTGTTTGACCTCCCCTCTTTGGCATGATAAAAAGAACAGGAAAGAAAAAGGTCGAGTCTTCTGCCAGAACTTTTCAATTCCCTATTCCTGATTTTTTCATTTTTTTTTTAAAATTGCTCACAGTTGTAATCAACTTAAAGTTAAAACTGGAGTTCTAAACATCTGGCCAAATCCCAAATCCCAAACATGCAGGTGCACACTTGCACCTGGCCAAATCCCAAAGCAGAGGAAGTATGAGAAAAGGGGGTGTGGAGTAAAAGTGGAAGGACCTTTTGGGCGTCTCTGGGGATACCATAACCACTATAATACATCTGGCTGACAAGGACCTGCATGGCGGTATCACCAGCCTTGGCTTCTTTGAGGGTGTCCTGAAACCACCGCTTGACACAATCAGCCACGGCCTCCGCCAGAGGAATCCGGCGGCCCTGCTCGGACGCCGACGTGGAGTTGTCGTTGGAAGTCGATTTCTTCCCCTCCATCCCCTTATTTTCAAGTCTAAGCTGCGGCAATTGCTGGTCCTTTGATGCAAGCCGCCGGGACCCACTAAGGCCGGCGGCGGGGGGCTGGGCAGAGGACAAGGTGGTGGGTCGGGGGGATTTGGGGACTTGGCGGCGGTGAAGTCTGTTGGTGGAGATAACCCTGGACAATTCTTGGAGTGCAGCTGGAGATGGAAGTGACTTTCCCATAATAAAGAGAACAACACATAGACGAACAATGAAACTCAATCAGAGAGAGATCGAAGAAAGATTACAAAAATGTCTCTCCAATTTTATTTTTTTTTTTTTATTTTTTTTTTTTGGGGAGATTATGGGGTTGTGAAAGGCCGAAGTGTGACTGGATTATTTGGACAGGCTAACCTTAGTAGAACCGGCTCATCTTTTTGCTTTCTAATGATGTGGCGGTACTGGGCAGAACCGGAGCAGAGGATTCCAGGGTCTTAAACAAATGAGTTTGAAAGTATTAGTTGAGGACTTTGAATATATCTATAAAAAAAAAAAAAAAGGAAAAATTAAGGCATAAAGCACAAAACAAAAAAGTACCCATCATTATTAGTATTATCTTTTCTTTTCTTTTCTTTTTTTGTTACTGCCTCTCTAACCCAGATATCGAAATTCACCTATCCGCTCTGTTTTGAAATCTACAGTCTCACATATCTAAAAGATTTTCCCCGTTTACAAGACCAAAAATTATTCACCGTTTTGATATTTTTCAGAAGTACCTAAACGCAAGTCGAATGTCAAGAAAACAATTACCAAAGCAACATGGAGCTTGACTCTTAACCTTCAGCCCGCACCAAAGCCCAGGAAAAGTTATGCACTCAATGCCCACAAAATTCACCTCCTACTTTTAGTCCCACACTCACCAGGTGCCCATCCACCACCACCACCATCGCCCCCCCCCCCCTCCCAAAAAAAAAAAAAAATCCCCCCAACCCACTGCAGCCCAAAAAAAAAAATTCATTATTGTTTCCTAGTTACTGTATACCTATCCAAGTCCGCGGAAAAAAAAAAGTTAAAAAAAAATTGACATCCAAACACGTTCTGATTATAGGTTATATCGACGAGACAATGCCAGTTTAATAATTCAATTTAACACTTAAATTTAATATATTTAGATCTTAACATATTGAGACTGTTTGATAACAAAAAATTAAATATTTGAACTAATTAAAGTGACATTGAATCTTTTATGCAAAACTTGCTTACAAAATTAAGTAATAAATTATTCACTTTATCATTGAATGTGTAATACTTAACAATTCAATAATTTAATGGATTCATATTTCAAATTTCAAATTTTAGAGTTCAAATTTATCAAATGCATCCTAAATGTAATAGTCATACATGTTTTCACCCAATTTCCATATATTTTAGGTTATATCGACAAGACTAAGGTCCTGTTGGATAACCCAATTCAGCGCTTAAATTTAATGGATTCAAATCTTAACATATTCAAACCATTTGATAACCAAAAATTGAACAATTGAACTAATTAAGTAGCACTGGATTTCCTAAGCAAAACTTGATCTCAAAATTAAGTGATAAATTATTCACTTATTATTAAATGTGATGTGATATGTATTTAAATGTATTAGATTTAATACTTAACAATTCAATAAGATAACGGATTCAAATTTCAGATTTCAAACTTCGGGTTTATCAAACGCATCCTAAATGTAATAGTCATACATGTTTTCACCTAATTTCCATATATTATTATTAAACTCCACAGCGTATGACATATACATTCTTAAGCTTCTCCTTTGACATTAGATTGGTATTAGGAAAAAGATTTTATAATAGAATTACGGCAAATGGGTCGGTAAATTGTACTAATAGAATTCATCACGCAATTACACAGCAGTTATATCGCAAATTGTTGTACCCGTTGCTCCAAAAAAAACAAAACGAGATGAGCTGTTGCTTTCCTAATCACTCTGCATTTTTTGGCTTTAGCTTGAGCTGAATAAACCAAGTGAACGATGGTCAAAACTGCTTGGAACTCTGCAGTGTCCGTTGGAACTTCGAAAATGAAAAGGGTGCTAGCTACAGGGTTTTTTTTTTTTTTTCGATGCATTAAGATTGGGCTCGTCTCTATGATTATTTGTTAGTAATACTTCTCCACCAGTGTTGAACATATTGTTGTGAACCTAATAATCCGAAACTGGCTTCAAACAAAGATGATATCACACATTACATAATTGAAAAGAATGAATATTTGTCAGCTTGAATATTGCAACCTAATCTAATCACCAGCCTTTGGGCCGGTGACTATCACCAAAATATTAAAATTTGGTGGGATGGACATTAATAAGTGGCATTGCTTAAACTTTGTCTCCCAGTAAAGTGTCAAACTTTTACTCTCACCAATTGTCACATTAAAAGGTGGTTTTGTTTAAAAAATTTAGGCGAGCGCGTAGTACACTCGTTTTTCCTCCGAATTACTCCTGAACCTCCTTAGGTCTGCTACCTTTCCTTAGTATAGAATAGATTAGGTTATACAGCAATCATCGTCTCTAAAAAAAAAATAAGAATATTGCAACCTAATCTAGTAAATTGCCTGTCATGTGAACCTAAACCATATTGTAAGTGCTACTAAACATGATTTCCTCATAAGTAGTAATTGATAAAAGGCAAAACCAAAAAAAATTAATAAATCTGACAGATCCGAGCCTTCGCTCTGGATTTTGGGTCATCAAAACATAAAGATTTCCCTGTTTTTATGTTCGTTATACGGCAAGAGAAATATGATAATGGGAGTGTTTGGATAGCAAAAATATCTCAAATAATATTTCGTTTGAATTATAAATACATTTTTTTATATTCTCAATTATCTTTTTATCTCACATATATCATATTATAAAAAGTACTATCATAATTATTTCAAATAATATTTTAAATAATACTCAGTCAGTTACTGCCTTCCTCCGGCAGGACAAAAGCAAGAAAAGCAAAGACACTCCAAAATGTCAGAATCCTCATCTAGTTGTCGGGGTTGCGTAGCACCCACTGATTAATAATTCAGCTGAATTCAGACCTTGGCCCGCTGTAGTTCAATTAAATTACTATAACCTGTCCGCCCTCTTTTTTTCTTTACGTTGGGTTCCCTTCCTTCAAGCTATTTGTTAAAGCATCAGACTTCAAACCGCAAGCGGGGAGATGAATAGTATTACATTATTGTTATTTATTTGGATTAATCTGTCTTTTATACGCTAATGGTGCGAACACATTCACCATTAGACGCGTGACATAAAATATAAATTCAAAATATATCGTGCATTTAATCATAATAACATGTATACTGTTAATGTATATAAAATTTATTTTACATTTTTTCCATGCTTAGCTTTCCTGCTGTTACTGCATATCTGACGTTTGTCCTATTCAATGAGAGCCTTATAATTTGTTTGTCAGTAAGTTCACCTGTGTTACATCATCCCATAATTTAGTTGATTCTAATTTTGAGAAGATTTTGTGAACCAAGTATAGCTTCGGACGTCGACCAAAGTTAATCTAATAAAATATGATTTATATCGCTGTTCATGAGATATTGGAGAAAGATACTTATTTCATGTAACTAGTTATTGAATCGACGACAGATTTGCAGAAATTGAAATGTAGAATAGAAAGGGCCAATAGAGTTAGAAATGTAATAGTCTGCTACCGCCTCCTTTTGACCACACCCAAGCGATCATAACAACGTTAGTATCAAAGTCAAACAACATGCCTCTCTCTCTCTCTCTCTCTCTCTCTCTCGAGATTGTTGGATTTATGACACTTGTACCAAAATGAAATGAAAGAAATTTCCAGGGTTATTAGGGTCTACCTAATTGTTGATTTTAGGAGTTCGAATCTTGTGTTTAGCATAACAGTTTGAGTGTAACTTTTTTCCTTTGTGGTTTAGTCTTAATATGAATCACAATCAATCTTTATTTATTGTCACGCCCACTTAGGACTTAATGAATGGAGTTTCCTTAGGCCACTCGCCGACTTCAGAGAAAAGTCGGCAAATTTTTATAGAAAAAAACGAGGGCAATGGTAAGGTTGTGGGATAACATCGAATTCCAACGTCAGGGTCAATTTTCCACGCAGAAAAGCGAAGATAAAAGGGTTCCCACTTCCTAGCAGGAGTAGCGTGCTGAATACAGACTCTTCTGTCTTATATATATTCTCTGTTGCATGTTGGTCTTCTTATCAGAAAGCCCGCTCATGATTCGAGCTCCTTTCGCGCCTAAATTGCCTATCTAATTCTGCACCTTGTCCAATTAATTAAAGGAATAGTGGTATTACGAAGGAAGTACCGTTGGTTGATTTCAAAAGTGTGTTCAGTGGACAAAAGGTCCCAACGGTTATCAGAAAAATCATTCGGGACGGTTTTATGTAAAATGTATATGGCGTAACTCTGTCTGCACGTATGATGTGACTATAAAATAAAATTTTGTAAACTCCACGTATGATGTGACTATATATATATATATATATATATTTTTTTTTTTGGTCAAATCTTAGCCGTGTAGTATCAGACCGTTGGTGCCCCTCTTCCGTGTTTAGTCCCTTATTCTGATGCCAAATCTCACTCCAAATTCAATTGACACATTGCTGGTTCAACGTGTAAAGTTAGAATTTTGTGTGCTTATTGAAATTATTTTTGGTAACAATTACTACAATTAGCTTATATACTACTAATACAGAATATTTTTGGCGAAAATCGTACGAGAGATTGGTAAATCAACCATACAAGTCGATGTTCTTGTAATAGGTAAGAATCACATACACTTTTGGGATGGGATGGAATGGAACATGTTGTGCGTGGAGGGGATAACGGGGAGGCTTGGAATAATACTACTATAATAGTACTCCTATGTGTTATGTATATTCTTTATGCTCCCATAATCTTGACATCAATGACCAATTCTCCTGCAGCTCTGGTGACACTAAATGATTCTAGGAGTCACTACTCACTAGCATATATCCAGTTTATGTACCAAAAAAAAAGAAGAGGAATCTAATGTCCAGAATAGGATCATGGATTAATTTCAATTTGTGTCGTTTTAGTTGCATTTTTGGCACGTGACAAATTTAATCCCCAGTTGGGCAGTTTTTTTCTTTTCTTGAAAGGCCAGTTGGGCAGTTATTCCCCTTTGTTCCTCTCGAAGCATTTATGTAATTTGAGCAGTGCTGAAGGACAAAAACGTTATTGTATTTGTGTCACATCAAGTTGTAGAATGATGCGGATTCTAATGGGAATATTAGCCCCACCCCCACCGAAAAAAAAAAAGAAAGAAAAACGCAGCGAATGATGATGGGTACGGTCTACCATCTTCTTTTTTTAGACTA